GTAATTTCATTGTGCAAACGATGACAATAAAGGCTTTCATCAACATCATCATAAGTCTAAAGTGTGTTGAATAAGTTGTGAACTGTAACAGTCCAACAGCACAGTGCATCTACATACAGTATTTAAACATTAATAACACAAGAATGCACAATAATGAGAGTAATGACAAATATTTGAGTGGAAAAGACACATACCGCTGGATTTAATGAGCGTCCCTGTTAATGTACCAGCAGCAATTGTGTTAATGTCATCTTCCGCTCCTCTGGCTTTCTCTATCGCCACCCCAAAACCACTATACAACAAGGCTGAAAAAAAAAAAAAAAAAAAAAAAAAAACACATCAAAATAGGACTCAACACAGAAAACCTTTAAAAACACTCCAGTATTTTACATCAGATCAGCGTGGCTAGGTTAGCGATTCTTTTCAATTTAAATTCAATTTAAACTTGTGTTACGTCTTACCAACACAACCCAGAGAGTTGGCCCACGAACCTCCCTGCCTGATCACCATGTTGAGAATTCTGTTGAGAAAAAGCAACATTTAATTATTTTTTATTTTCAGGAAAGCCAGTTTGATGGTAACATTAGCAGTAAAACTAGCCGAAGTGGACTTCGCTTGCATACTTACTGAACATTACGTGGTTTGGACCAGGCCATGTCCCTGGTCTCCTTCAGGCTCATCCTCAGACCGTTTACAGCTCCGAATGCAGCTCCTGTAGTCGAGGAAGGCAACAGGTTAAAAAATAAAATAAAATAAAGCAAGAACACTCCAAGAACTCAAGTATTTGGACAACTAAATGTGGTTAATAAATATGTTACTTCCACATAATGAGATTTACTGCTAACATAACATCATCTTTGATTCTTCAAGGCTTTCAACGATTAAAAAGCCTGCAAGGATTTTCCTTAAAATTCCATACATGAGCTTTAGTGAGAGATGTTGGGTAACAAATTCAAGGTTAAATAGCTAAAAAAAAAAACTTACTTGTATCCATTCTAACTATTTTCCTTGACCACAGACAGCATCACAAGATTTAGGGAAGACCATGTGCAATAATCTTGGCAAGTGTGGTTTTAATTTCAGCTTTTATTTAGCTGTTAGAGACTTTAAACAACCCTTCATTTGTCCACCAATTGAAATGCAAACAAATACGTACAAAACATGAACTCCAAAACTKTATTTACATAAGGGCCTTGACGTTATCTGATACTTACCAGTCATACAGCAGCTTCCGATGGTAAAGAAAGCCAGTTCAAACCTCCCCCTTAGTTTTTTGGCCCCTGTGGGTATAATGAACTCATCTGTGTCCTAAAACACAAACAACTTAGATTAGAGGAGTCAGTAAAGATACCTTATTACAAAACGCATTGTTGCGCAGAAAAGGCAACTCGAGTTTACCTGAATCAGGTAACGAGGGTCGACGTTAAGGTAAGGGGAGATAGGACTCATTCCAGTCACTGAAATACATAAACAACGAGATAATAATAAAGTTAAATGAAAAATAATTTAGTCTTCAACAGTGGAGCTGACATGGTTAGCAATGCTAATGGGTTAGCATTAAGGGATACACTTACATGGGACACCGGCGAGCTCTGCGTTTGAGTATTCAGATGCACCGCCGCCAAAAAGACTCCCGAGACCCCCTTTTAATCCCCTCGAACCCTGTGAGTTGTTGTCCATAGCTGCTAAAGTCCCGAAATGTCAAACAGGAACCTGGAACGTAGATGCTAACCGAGCCGAATCGGCTAACCCGAGCAGGTTCGTAAATGTCTCAAAAATGAAAGTCGAGCTGCGTTTCGACGAGTTGTTAAGTTTACCGCAACCAATAAACGATGTTCTGACACAATGTATTTTGTATTCAATATCAAATTTTAAAGTAAAAACTCCGTCTTTTGGGGGCTTAAAATTAGCTGAGCCCGTCTTGTCTCATAACCCTGACCTCCAGCAGCAACACGCTCTGCCGTAAAGCGACCCGGCTTCGTCGTCACGTCAACAAACGCCCATTTTCAGTCTCAAAATTCAGGCTTACATTAAAATAAACACAGTTTATATATTTTTTTAAATTATACATTCTTATAGCATATTATTTCTATTAAAAATATTTCCCCGATAAACATTAGGGAAGGTGTGTTAATATCACGACAGCTTTACGACAGTTCAGCCGATCTGGCATCAGTTTTAAACTCGGGAGCGAGTGAAAGATGTGAAGGACGATGAACGTCACAAAACAGATTGCAGGTCTGTGTTTTTCATAACTTCACCGAACAAGGTAATGTTTTTATAAAACATGTAAAAGATTGTATTTTAGTTAATTATCATTGCTGTAAAGTTGATACTGCAAATTTTAAAAATCTGTCGTTCACCTCATGAAACTTAGCCTACACAAGAACATAAAATGTGGGAGTAAAAGTTAAAAAAAAAGTTATTCACAGTGATGTGAAAAACTAGCCAGATCATACAGAAAACCTTTCCTTTTCTTTTAAATATCTAATAAATATATAATAAATAATATTATAGCAAAAATATCTCTTGAAGTAGTAGTTGTATCCTAATACGGTACATAAACCCCAAATTYATTCTTTCATTTTTAACTGAATTTAGTAAAAGTACAAAACATGTTTCCTTATTTGTTTACAGTGTATTGCAGAGTGGATTAATCTGGGCATGTGTCAGAATTTAGCTACCTTAAATGCTTATATGTATTTAAATTAAAGGGGCAACAAGCATATATTTTTACTATACCATAATAAAGTATCTATGTCACCTTCAGTTGTTATTAAAATGCTGTTTTTATGTTTAAATAAAAAATAAAATTGTCTTCTCATCATTTCCTCTTCTAAACACCTTGAAACACCCTCTGTCTCTTTAAGAACCACCTTCCGCTTCTGTCCCACCCATTTC